TACTCCTGACAGCAGCACTCACTAGCAATTTCAATTTCTTAGTTCTTAAGAAAGAAAAAATGCTTTGCTCATGTTTGTTGCTACAGCTTTTAGCACAATGTCTTGGCATAGTCCTGTACCCTGCATGTATTGAAGCAATATGGAGTCACACTATCTGGAAATTTAAAACAAGGAAGGGAAAAAGGAAAGAAATATAGATAATGGGGAAGAAAACCATTGACAGTAAACTCAGCGGTGATCACATTTACCAAAAATGTTATCAGTGTGTTTCCTCCAAAGCCTCCTTCTCTAAACACCTCCCTATAACAAGCTGAAAGAATACACGTCCCTCTTGCTGCTGTGTAGGCTGTTTTGGATAATTCAGTGACAAGTAAGCAAATTCATTAGTATTATTTTTCCTTCCTTCCAACAAATAGCAGCCATTTGTTGTTGCCAGGGACAATCCAATTAGTTTTACTACAGAGTCCAAGTACACTGGAGACTGAACCTTCACACGGCACCCAAAGGGCTGTAAGAAAGTGCTCCCTGAGATGGCAGCTTCGGTGTCTCCTAGGGTGTAAGTCAAGTATGACTTCTTCATTTTTCCTTCATTGCAAAACAAGCAATGAAAGTAACAGGATTGAAGTCTGGGTGTCATGAGAGAAGACTTCAAAGATTTTGTGATGATTCCAATGAGTGTTCCTATTTTCTTGAGGTCAGATGTCTTGTGTCACTGTTTTCCCAAGTGATGCCCTCACTTTAACCAAAAGACCACAACTATTCAAAGCACACTCCCAAAAATTACTTGGTTCCACTGAGTCTGAAAATTGCCTTAAGCCATGTTGGGGGAATGTTGATTTTGGGGCCTTGGATTGGGGTTTTTTTGGGTGAATAGTTCCTTTTTTAAGAGACTCATATTTTCCTTACTTCCAACTATCTGCAGATGGAACAAACTTTTATGCATTTATTTCCAAACAGCTCATTTCCAAGATGACAGAAATCTTTGTTACGAAGTTCACACACATCCAAGGACAAAAGCCTGCAGCAATGTGTAGGATGAAGAGCATTTTTTCTCCTGCTGGTAAAGCCAAGAGGAGCTCTTTCTGCTTTTCAGAAGCTGTGATGACCTCAAAGGCTTATCAACCAAACAACTATGTGGGGGTGGAAGGAGTCGCACAGTTGTAACCTTTGTCCAGGATCATGCCTGCCACTAAAAAGCCAGATTCTTTCTCCTCAGCAGAGGTAAGAACAAATTGCTTAAGCAGTTGGGCTCCAAACTCAAAATAAAGCCCCTCCTGTTCTTATATGTTCAGTGTAGAATACTGGAACCAGTGAGTCCACCACCAGCCACGCACTTTTTGGGAATTGTTGTGTGTCCAGGAGTCCCACTCAGTAAGGCGACAGCGAAACCACAGTCTCTGCAGTCCCATCAAACATCTCAGAAAAGGTCAGCTGGCACCTGAAACCGAAAACCAGAGAAGTGATGGCCAAACACACATATTTCAGAGCCAACAGGTTCTATTTGCCAAGGTAATGCCTGAGTAATACAAACACATTCCTTTCAGCTATCCACAGTGTGTGTGTTTTCATGCTCTGATTCCCAGAAGTGGGCACGGGTGAAGGAACTCTAATTCTGGGGAAGGGAAACAAAAAACCTAAGGGCTCCTGAATGTTAAAGTTCAATGAAGATCCAGGAAGGCGGGTGGGAAGGTACTGAGCATCATTTGCTATAGATAATTATTTTAAATGTGAATTTTCACATCTCAAAAGGTGTTACAGAAATGAGCACACAAAAACGTGTGACATGTGCCACGATGCAGCTGGCAAAACGGAGTTGGGATTCTCCATGACACAAGGTGAACAACAGGACGCTTCAATCTATCACATCTTCTGGTATTATTTTCAAGGGCGTATGGACTGGAGAAATTTCAAAACTTAAGAAACACACAGGGAAATTGAAGGAAATAAAGCATCTGATAGATATAAAACTTACCTTGCACAAAACTGTAGCTTGAAATTTGGTTTCAGACTCCAGCAAATATGTTTGTACTTCATGACAGAGCTGGATCCACAGAAGGAATCATAGGTGCTAGGGAGCAGCATCCCATCATAACCAAGGAATACTATGAAGCATACTGGTATAGCTGACATGATGAAGATAAGAGGATATCAGCAGTCCATACCCTCTGACTTTAGTCAGTACTAGGTAGCAGTGACTCGACATTTTACAGATCAGAACATAAATCATTCCTAATCAAAACCCTGGAGGAAATAAGACTGCTCCTTCAGAGACTGGCCATGTTAAATGGTTTCAAGGCCATGATGAAAGTTCACCTTTACACCTGTATCTGGGACACATCCTCCAAAGTAATTCTCGTGCACTTAGGAGAAGTTCTCACTTGTTGAAGTGAGAAATCTCTTGTTTAATTGTCTTGTGCTCTCCTGGGCCTGCTGCCAATGAATGGCTCCCACTACAGGTGCCAAGCCAAATAAATACCTGCTGTGGAAAGGCACACAGCCAAAGTCTGAAACAAAGCAGCCAAATCACTTCCTGCATGTAATGAATTAAGGACTGGATAATGGGAAGGCAATTGAGCCATGAGGTTTATTCTCTTTATGTACTTACTCAGGGCCTGCCTGAGCTGGGACTGGTTTCTGTGTCCCAGTAACCCCAAGACCCAGGCTAAGGACACTGAGAGATTGCACGGAATCACATAATCCTGGCCTATCTTCACACAGCAGTTTCTGCTAAAGAGCTGGGTGGCTTGAACGGGACCTTCAGTGAGGCAAATACAAACCTTGTGGTGAGTCTGCCCCAGCTACACTGACACCACCACTCACAGTAACTAATTTAAACTTAATTCAAGATTACCTTCAAGGTCCCCTTCCAATCCAAGCCATTTCATGATTCTATCTGTTCCACCTGCACTCAGTGCATGGAAAATTATGCATAATGAAAGAGATAGGGCAGCAGGCAAGGAAAAACTAAGCTCTCTGCTCCCTATCTTTTCTGTACTTGATAAAGGAATTTTGCCAAAGGTGCTGAAAGGAGACAGGGCAAAGGGTACAATTGAAGAGAGTTCCTCCACAACTCAGCCTTGCTGCTGCTGTCATCTGGACTGAAGAGACCTTGCTCACATTCCCACAGAAGGTAGCTAGAAGCAATCTAAAGTCTGCAGGTACAATGCCTTGCTTAGGCAGATGGTCTTGCATGTTGCAATAGTCCCAAAGACACCCATTTCCCTTGTTCCAGGCCTGTTTGTGCAAGCCCTGACTCAGAGGACCAGGCTCTGCACCATCTGCTGCACCGCAGCATGTCCATGAGCTGACGGCTGCTCCTCTTGGCACATGGCTCTGAGGGAGAGCTGGCTGCAGAGTTTCACACATTGCTGCTGCTTGTCTAAAAACAGCCTCACACTCCAGACCCCAGGAGACATCTGGAATTTCCTCAGCAGTAACCACTGTGGAATGAGTCTGATGGGTCAGTTCTTGTGAGCAGTCATGTAAGCATAAAGCCAAGTTCTGTCACGTAAGCTGTCCTTACTCATGTGTACTGTCCAAGAGCAATGTGTAATCTGACTGCGCACGAGTGACAATGAGTGATCTGCCCTGCACATCCACTCCGAGCGGGATCTGCTAACGATAATTGCACTGTCCCGAAGCAGATTATGCACTGTCCTACCTGCTTGTTGCCTCAGTTTGCTGCAGCTGGGCAAATCCTTCTTCCTGCAAAGAACATAGCACTTCCTCAGTACAACCATATGGGAAACGTGCAGTCCAAGGCTTGTGTGGCTATAACCTGGAGAGAATGGTGATTCCACCTCTATGATCTCAAGGGATCTCAAGGGATCTCAGTGAAGGTTTCTAATTAGTGGCTGCTCCTAAGCTGACCATGTAGCTTCCTTTTAAGACCAAGCTAAAAGCCAGATGCTTCCAAGGATGTTGTTACCAAGCTGTATCTGGAAAAGGGTCCAAATTAGTCATTAGATATTTCCTGATAACATGGGGCAATCACCATGTGCTTGTGATATACAATCTTCCTGCAGGGCTGATCACCTGAGGGACTAAGCCAGCAGCTGTATGAAACAGCTGAGCTGTAGATGATGGAGCCCAGGAATGAGAGTCCTTAATCTCCTCAATCCCTTTTTAGGACTGCTTTACATGCTGTATCTTATCTTTTTCGGGTCCTGACTCGGTTTTGTTCTCAGATAGTACATCTAATCTAAGGCAGTCAGGCAGATGGGGCGAGACACATGGCAGCCTGACCCTGGAACAAATTGATTTGCCGAACCCCACTCATGTTCACAAAAGTCTGTGGAAGAAAACAGATTGGCTACAAAAAAACCGTACCAAACCAACCAAAAACTAAGATCAATAAAGTGCAATATTATATGTCGTACTAAAACTTATTATAAAAAAAAGTGTGCTGACCATAACTGATCTAAACCTATGTGTAAATAAAATGTAGAAAACCTGCATCTCATTTTCATTAAAAGCTCATAGAAAACTGCTATTTTGCTTCTTTATAACTGAACTTAGCAAAATGCCTTGACATGAATGAAGAAAAAGAATGACCTATGTGTGCAGAGGAGTGGAACAGAAGGCTTTCAGCAGTGGAGTGTAGGTAGGGAAACCTGAGAGCCTCCTAGTCGCAGGAAAAAAAGATTTCTGGTTTTCAAAAGCTAGGTGAATAAATGGGGTGCTCAGGGGAGCAATGCCCACAGAATAAGTGTGCGTGGTTGCACACGGTTCGGCAGCAAGGCAAACTCCAGAACCCAAATTCTCCTTTGGCTCAGCAGCCTGCACCCTGAAAGCTAACGGAGAGCTCCCACAAAAAGCCGCCGCTCCTTTTGGAGAATGGGGTCCCAGCAGACGCTGGGCGGTTCTCGGGACGGTGCAGTGCGACGCTTCCCTCGCTCCAAACCTGAAGGAGCCGCTGTGCCGGGAGCGGCCGCTCTTCTCTCTCCGCCTTCCTCCTTTTGCGGCACACACCCACCGTGGAAATGGGCACTGCCCCCGGCTCCACTCCGGGAAATTCCCCGGCAGCTGGCGGCCGGGAATAAAAGCACAGGAGCGTAAGGGGGGCGCCTCGTCGGCTCCTGCACCCTCTCTGACGCCAGCACCAGCCATGAATCCGCACCTCCGCCTCCTCCTCCTCCTCCTGGCCGCCGCCGCTCTATGCCAGGGTAAGCGGCCGAGCAGGGGCTACCCATCCGTCCGCGGCCGTGCCCCGGCAGGGTGCGCGGGGGCTCGGGGGGTTTCGGGAGACCCCGGAGCAGAGGCTCAGAGGGCTCCTCCCGCCTGCCAGGTGCGCCGCTGGCCGGCGAGCTGCGCTGCCGCTGCGTGCGGACCGTGTCCGAGGTGATCCCGCCGCGGCGCCTGGCCCGCCTGGAGTTCCTGGCCGAGGGGCCGCACTGCGCCGTGCCCGAGGTCATGTAAGTGCCCGGCCCGCCGAACCGGCCCCGGCCCAACCGGCCCGGCCTCACCCCTCCCTGTCTCGCCCGCAGAGCCACGACGAAGCAGGGACAGATGATCTGCCTGGACCCCGTCGCACCCTGGGTCAAGCTCCTGGTCACCAGGATTCTCCGCAGGTACCTGCCGGGCCAGCTGTCGCCAGCGCCTGGGGCCAAACTTGCCTTTTGGAGGGGCTTAAAGCCAAGAGTAACGAGAGCCACATTCTGTTACTGATTCCTGTAGGGAAATCTGGTTAGTTACACCAAAAATGTGTCCAGAAAGTGGCTTCTTTGTTGGGGAAGAGACGACCCAGAAGGTTGTCAGGGAGAGTATCCACAGCAAATGCCTGATTAATTGTAAATCTAGCCACAGTACATTCCATCATCACCATCAGGCATCTTTTCCACACCTCCTATGGGATTTATTATCTGGTCTATGCAAGAAAACTTGTGGAAAAATTTCCTGTCTGGCTTTACAATTTGAATTCTGCCTGTTGCAGCTCACCCAACAAGCTCTGAGTGAGGAAAGTTGCACCTTGGAATGAAGTTACCTGTTTGCCACAAGATCCCAGGAAACAGATGCTATGAGGACACAATAGCTCACCTCTCTAGTTTTGATGGGTTTGTAGATCAGATGCTCTATGTTTCGTTCCCTCTCCTCATATTTGTTACTCCTAATCCTATGCGTGGTTTTATTGACTGAGATAAAGTGATTGAATCCATTTGATAAGACAGTGGAAGCTTTGGTGGGCACCTCTCAGCAACCTTCTCAGAGTCTGCTCCACCTTTGTGCCAAACACTATTTGCCAATAAGCTCCTTCTTGCCAAACACTATTTGCCAATAAGCTTCTATAAAACAGCATCAATACCTGAAAAGAAGCTGGGCCCACAGTGAAGATAATTTTGCAGATGTCTGCAGAGCATGTGACAGGAGAGGTTTGAATGCATTGGGCGTAATCCTTCCATCAGGAATAACAAGAGTGCTGGCTGGCTCTTAACATTTCAGTGCCTGTCCAGGATTACATGGGAATAAAACCTGGTTCAGGCAAGAATGTTTTGCTGAATCTCTTTTTCCTACTCCAATCCTCCAGTCTTTAACTCACAATGTACTGTCTAATGATATCACAAATTTTGCCCCTGAAGCATTTTTGCCCCTATTCAATACTTAGAAGGGTTTAATAATTTCTATGAAATTGTGGGGGTTTGTGCTGTGACTGGTTTGGTTTTTAACCAGATAATGTAGAGGTTGTTTAGTTGGTTTGTTTTTAAATGAGTTTACGTGACAATATTTGGTATTTATGCACAAGTTCTAAAGGAACAGTAAATGTTCTGGAGAGACTTAGACATTTTATGTCTTCTTGTATGACATAATGTCATAACTCATAAAGAATAAGTAATTTTCATTTTTCTGCTTTGGAAAATTGTATGTAAAGAGGTGGATTTCTCATGATAATGTAATGAAATATACAATACAATAAACACGTTTTCCTGTTGAAAAACATCCCGGGTTTTTGTGAATCCCATGTTAAATGGGGCTGTGTACCTGTGTCAGTTGGGCTGGTGGGATGCAGGGAAGCAGAAACCTCTGGGATTCCTGGATGTATTCAGGCATTCCTGGACACACCTGCAGATCAGTTCCCTCTGAAGTGTCAGGGGCGCCACGCAAACTTGTTTCTATATTCAGAGGCACGTTACTCAAACCCTCTGATGTGAAGCTGATCTGAGCTGCTGATATGAAGAGACATTAATCCCAGGATGGATCTATTGAACCCAGGCACACCCCTGCAGTCTGCAGGAATTTCTATTCTTTCTATTCTTCCTCGCACCTTGACGCGGGCTGTGTTTAAAGTTAAGTGGGAATGAGTAACAGTGTTTGCTATGGCAAGAAACAGCAAAAGTTGGCAATGGTAAATTTGTTTCCAGAAGAAAGGTGGTGTGGGTCCCAGCGGTAGCAAGGATCTCTGGCACTTCTGAAAGCCAAGAATCCCCTCGTCTGCATTCCTGCAAATTTCTAGGACAAACAATCTCTTCTGTCTACTAGGCACACAGCACTTGTTTAGTGACAGACAAATCTACTGAAATGAAATGAAATCCACATGAAATCCAACAAAACCTTACCTGAAAGCACACCCACATCCTGGCCTTGCTGACATGGGGAAGTCATGAGTGTTCTCTGGTGACACCTGAGGAAAGCTGGCTCATCCCCAGAGACAGACAAATGAAGGCAATATGGAAATCTGTCTCCTTTACACACCCATGGGTAGAGAGCATGAAATGTTCTTCCATTTCCTTGTGAATCTCCTTGTACATTTTTTTCCTTGTTAAAAAAAAAATCTGTGATCTTTTTCCCTGCCCTTTAAAGGTGACCTGAGACTGTTGCTCCCTCTTCAGAACCTCGAGAAAGTCCTGCCTGCTCTGGCCACCTCTCAACAAACCCCAGTGTGTCTGCACACATAATGGCTTTTCCCTGGGAATGGTGTCTGTCTGAAATGACCACATTACCCTGTTGCACCATGTTTGTCTCAGGAAAAGACCAGAGAGAGCTACACACAGATTCACTTTACCAGAGCAGCAGATATTTGCAAAATCCCAAGGCAGATTTTTCATTTTCCCTGCTTAGCACATACCAAAGACCGTGACTACAACACTGGCAATAACCAGATTCTTTCAAAAGCTGAAAAGTATAATTTACCAGCAGGAATAGATGCCTATTTAAAATGCTCTTTTTGAAAACCATGGCTCAGTAAAAACTTCTACAGTTCTTCCCTTCTGCTCTATGTCATATGTTTTTGTTCAGATGCAAGTTAATCGACTAAAACAGCAATGGAAATATCTTGTGCAACTCTGGATTTTTGCCTCCCGCCCAGTTTTCAGCAGGAAAGTACATTGCCCAAGAAAAAATGTTAGTAAAACAGGACACATCAAAAGTTTTTAAAGTCCCCATGGGGCTCAGGAGTTGTTATCATTGGTTCTTTGAAGTTCTCAAGACACTAAGCATGAATCAAGTTCATCTTCACAGCACCCTAAGAGATTCACCTAAGTGCCTGTAGATAAGTCAAATGTACAAAGTCACAGTAAGCCAATCATTACAACTTAAAACTACATTTAACACTTGAAATTGTTTGGGGTTTTTTGTATGTTTTTTTGGTTGATTATTTTCTTTTGTTTGTTTGTTTGTTTCTCCCCTGAAATTGAAAAGAGAGTTTGATTTCCATGTAAAGTTCCAGCTTTGAGTACATAGCATATTTTGTGCTATTTTGTAATGAACTTGATCAACTGAAAACGTTTATAAAATATTTGGAGGAATGACTAGGAAATTGCTTCGTTCTCCTTATCTGCAGACTGTGGAACCAAATGCTTTCGTGGAGAAAATAAACACGCTTACTCTGCAAGGGTCCTCAAAAACTACGACTGTCACCATCTGAATAACATGTCAGTTGTTTGTAAAGACCTCTCTAGGAAGGCAGGAAAAGTCCTTGAAAAATATATTCCATTTAAGATCAAAAATAGAGGAACACCTGCTTCTGCAAAAACCCAGCCAAACACCTTGCTCCGTGGACCTGAGCTCACTATCCTCTTCCATATATAAAGAGTACAATCAGAAGCTCTCACCCACCAAGAGAGCAACAATTATTATAGAGTTTGGGGGCTTTCACCACTGCTATTTGATTAATGTGGCTGACTACATTGCAAGTGAAGGCCCTACAGTTAAAGGGGTTTCCAGAGAAATACAAAGCAGGTTCTTATGCCCTCTGCAGAAACGGCTTGGCACGAAAAAGAAACAGCATTCAGGTTTTCTCAAAGCTCCCCTACGAACTGCAGAGATTTACCTTAAGGAGGAGCTTCTCCCGCCCTCAGCTCCGCCCGTCCCTTAGCCCCGCCGCCGCCTGCACTCCCCGTCTGTCCCCAGGCGACGCCGCTTCCACCCGTGGGGTCCGACCGCCATGGCTCCGATTCGGAAAGTCGGGAACTCTGCAGCTGCGGGACATTAGTGCTGCAGTGTGTCTAATTGCCCACGAAGAATATGGTAACATTGTGAAGATACAGAAGGGAATAACAACTAATACGTGCATAACTCTTTGGAGTCTATACAATTTTCAAGAGGTTTTGGAAAAATAGACACACTTTCAATAAAGAAAATGCCACCATCTTAGAGAGGTTTATATAGGTAACATCGGCAATGCAACATCTTTGCTTAACTTTTAATATGAAAAGCACATTGAAAATCGTGACATGGCATAAAATTTCTGGGGCTTTTTAAATTATGTGACTAACACGGAGTGAAGTTAGTTTCTGGGATTGTCTATAAATGAGTGTTATCCCAAATCTTTAAATCATCTGGTGAGTAGATCTATCAAAAGTCAGGTGAAGAACGGCTTGGCAAGTGACCAGAGGATGCACATAACAGGTATGGTCAACTTCAGTGTGGGTTTGATTTGTTTTAAATTCATAAAAACATCTTTTTTAAATTTTTTTTTATTTCCCCTTTAATAGAATAAGCTTTAAGGTAAGATCCACAGGAAAATCCTCTTATCACAAATAATTTGTAATGTGTGGTTAGACGACACACTAGAATTCTTGAAAAGATCTGTAATTCTTAATGATTCTTTTAGAATATTCTTTTAGAATATTCGGCCACTATTCTTTTTAGAATAACCCAAGAGACAAGTTAAACCAAATTAAGATATGACAATCAAGCTTAAGAGAGGCTTCCTGAGGCTGAAAATCCCTTTTCTCTTGACTAATATGAACACCAGTTTAAAAGTCAAAATAGCACGCACTTCTGCAAATATCTGACAGAATTTGGGGACTGTCACTATACAGAAAGAATTGTTACTACTTCTAGTAGGAATAATTATTATTGTCTATCACTTATTTTGTAATACGGAAACTGCTATTTCAGATCAATCAGATTGTTTCTCCTGGAAAAACATGCACGAAAACTGGATCTAAACGATCCAGTAATATTTGTGAATGGCATCATAACTGTTTTTACTGTTACTACTTTCTAAAATCATTACTTTCCTTCCGCTATTTTCGCTGTTACTGCTCTCTAAAAGCAGCACCAGAACCTTTGTGCCGCGTTGGGTCCCCCGCCAAGCACCGGCGGAACGCTCCCCGCCGTCCCCTCAGGCGCTTCCCGCCCTTTTTGCCCGCCTCGCGCTTCCCGCCGCGGCGTGAGGGGAGCGAGGAGGCTGAGGAGGAAGGAGCGAGGGGCAAAACCCCCCGATGCACGCCGCGTACCCGGCGGCGCTGCGAGGGGCGCTGCAGCCGGGCCGGGGCGCCGGGAGGAAGGCGAGGGCTCGGCAGCCCCTCGGCGGCGCCCAGGCCGGGAGCAGCAGCGCGGAGCAGGCGGAGGAGAGCATGTGGGGGCCGCAGCCATGGCGGTCGGACCCCACGGGTGGAAGCGGCGTCGCCTGGGGACAGACGGGGAGTGCAGGCGGCGGCGGGGCTAAGGGACGGGCGGAGCTGAGGGCGGGAGAAGCTCCTCCTTAAGGTAAATCTCTGCAGTTCGTAGGGGAGCTTTGAGAAAACCTGAATGCTGTTTCTTTTTCGTGCCAAGCCGTTTCTGCAGAGGGCATAAGAACCTGCTTTGTATTTCTCTGGAAACCCCTTTAACTGTAGGGCCTTCACTTGCAATGTAGTCAGCCACATTAATCAAATAGCAGTGGTGAAAGCCCCCAAACTCTATAATAATTGTTGCTCTCTTGGTGGGTGAGAGCTTCTGATTGTACTCTTTATATATGCGCCGCAAGCCAGCGACGAGGGGAAGAGCCGAGACAAAAAGGTGCTGAAGGACGGGTGGACAATGGAACGACACCCTAGTTTTTATCTAGGGTATAATTTGGTAAGGATAATATTTTAGAAAGGGCAAGCCATTAAAACCCAGCACGCACGCTGTCTGTGGAAGCACCTGAACCACATTACTTTTGGAAACATTTAACTCGGCAAAAACCTTGCCAGAACCATAATGAAGCCTCACTGCGTTGACACATCTTTCTAAAGCTTTTCCCAACTTTACAAAGGAATTTTCCCACTGTCAGTAGGCTGGCGAGGGTGCTGTTATTATTTTGGCATGCTTTTTATATGCTACTTTAGATCTTTGTTTTCTCCTCCCATTCTGCACAGGCGATTTTTTACTATAAAACCTGCCACTGAACGTGACAGAAGCCACCAATATGCAAATTGCAAGCGATTTCCTGAGACTTCCCCCTCAGAAAACACAGGGGTGCAGGGAATAACTATGAAGGGTGTGAAAAACGCCAGTCACTTGTTTTTGAAATTTTAAAAGTTTATTAGTAATAAAATGGTTATAAAAATAGTAATATATTTATATTACTATTATATACTAATAGATAATAGTTATAAAAATGGTGATAAAAATAGTAATATAATTAGAGTAATAAAATTTGAACAATAGAGATTAGGACAATATGAGA